ATATCCCACAACAATAACACGAATGAAACTAAACCACGGGTGTTTCCCAGCACACCTCTTTAGAATCGGTATCAATGAGACACCTACATGTGAGTGTGACAACTTAACAATCGGTGACTTGAATCATATATTTTTCAACTGTTCCAAACATAAGAACAATTCTGACAAATTCATGAAAAAACTAGTTTCACTAAAAGTAAATCTCCCAACTAATATCAGTACTTTACTTAGTACTTTTAATAAAGATATATATGACGAAATAAATTGTTTCCTTAAGAAATCAAATATCAGCATATAGTTATTTATTCTTAAAATTCCCAAAAAAAAAATATCTGTGGCTAATAGACTTAGTCTGAAGCCAACACCCCTCCTATACACACACACACACACACACACCCTTTTTACTAAAATAACAAAAACGAATAAAATTACCACGGATAATATCTAATTGCTAATAGTGTCCAGACACAGCACGCATACAGACCACTAGTTAGTTTTCAGATATTTTATATTTTTTTAAACTTTAATCGAAGAACTATTAATAGTCCAATAACTGAAGGGTCAAACCTGTAGAAAATTCGCTGATTAGTTCCCACATAGCGCAATTTGTAGGTCATTGCAGGTGTTTTTAAAAGAAAAAATCCTTAACGCGTTCTTGGTACCGGAAGAGGCTGAAAATGGACCCCTAAAACCTGGAAAATGGGTTTCCCACTAATATCTGACTGAATATGCCAATTAGAGAATTTTTGTTCAGACAAAAAATAAAGATCAGCTCATTTTCTACAAAAATGGCTCCTATAATTTTCTTCTAAAATTCAATGGCACTCAAAAGTCCCCTCATTTCAGCTGCTGCTCTACCTGCAGGAATTCCGCTTTCTATGAATTAACGTGTAAGCGTAGTTGTTTGTCTGCATGTGTTTGTATACAATTTCTGTTTTGGAGTCGTCGGCTTGACCAGATTATTGATGTACTGATGATATTTTTTCATTATTTATTTTGAATTATTTATTTAAGGTAGTTCATTCGTAAAACGGCCTTTCTTAAGAATTCAATAAAATTGAAATATGAGGATAATGAAAGTGTCTTTTATGTACCTAAAAAAAATAAAAAATTTTGACCGTCTGTAAAACGAGATATTAACAATCAAAATGTGCATAATTAACACTCTTGAAGCCATGTCATGTACACAATCATTGCATTTATTTCAAGATATATCGAAAACGGTTCTTACCATATTTTTTAAAAACTAATGTAATGTAAATCAAGAAGTTATACAATTTTCTAAAAAAACGCTAAATTTTTTTACCGTTTTGATAAAGAAATATATATTTTTAAAATAAAAATGTTCTTAAAGCAGTCGACGCATAGTGGCGTATTGTGATTACAACTTGGCAACATTGTAATCGATACACTCAACGCCCGCTTATTCAAATGTGTGTTAGATCAGTGCTTCCCAACCTTTTTATTGCCGCGGACCGGTCAAGTTTATCACTTTATCGAGGCCTTCTGGGAAGGGACGTTGTTTATACTTTAGGTTGATATGATTTAACAATTTAAATTTAATTGTATTTAAACATGTCTTCAAAATTAAATAAATATGCAAAAGTTGAATATAATTTTATTTAAACATGCCTTCAAAATAAAATACAGTTACACAAAAAAAAATGAATATAAAGTAATTTAAAATTTTAACTTACTAGTATGAGGAAGTCATAAGAAAATACAAATAAAAGTAATGATTTTCTTTTGTATTGATGATATCGTAGGAACGTTCATGACAGCAAGAAATGTATTTAAAGCAGTTTGACCAAACCCTGAATGGACAGCACCTTTAAATAAATAAAATTATATTAATTATAATAAAAAAATTATAAACATAACAAATACTTTTGAAATTTACCTAGAACTGCTTTAGTGTTGACATCTGAATGCTTAACTTCACTTTTTGTTGCATGAACTTTGTCCGTAGGTACTATAGTTTCAATATTACATTCATTACATTTAACATTTTAAATTGAATAAAGGCCCTTTCGTGTTTCATTTGTAATATTTTCAAGAGAAAGAACTCTTTCACACCAGCAACATTTTACATGTTTTCCCAACTCTAGTAATTCCACGATGCGACCACTGCACAGGTTATTTTTCAAGCTTGGGGTTTCCTTTCTCAATTTTTTTGCATAATTCATAGCCAAAATTGATTTTTTGCGTTTGTTGAGGACGTTCTGCTTAACAAATTTTCCTTTATCTCGCAATTAATTGATCATGACATTTTGATATTTACATGCAATGTACAAGGTTATCCCACAACATTTTAAAGAAATGTCTGTAAGTAAATTTAAAAAATTTTACAAAAAGTTTCTTCTTGACACAGCAGAGTGATAGCTACTTTTTAGAATGTTTATACTTTTTTTTCTCACTATCATTTGTGTTTATTTTTATATTGTTTTTTGTACGATGTCCTGTGGCGTTGGTAATACTCAGGGCTGGTGCTTTGATCAGTATCCACTGTTCACCAGTCCTTTTTGCAGCCTTCTTTGGCACTTTTTTTCTGAATATTTTTATATGTATAAAAAACTGGAAGTTGCAAATAAAGTTTATTATTATTATTATTATTATTATATTTATTTCACTTTAGGAATACAGTTGACGTTTCACAATATATTTACGACGTTGCCGGATGGATTTTACGCGATATAATACCATATTTGTATATAGGATCACATGTGTTGTGTGTACAGTCTGTTACAAAAATAACCTTTCTTTAGATTTAAGAATCTCGAACGGTTGGTATTCACTATAGGGCGATATTTTTGTGTACGACTGTCGCGAGTGAACTACCTTAAAATAAAATAAATATTTTTCATTAAATTAATTCAGTTATATAAAAAAGAAGTGTTTAAAGTGAGAAATTTCCACGTTATTCTTGTTTACAAGAAAGAATATTCAAGGATTTTTTTGTTGGAAGCAGAAAATAAGGTTCGTTTTATTTTGCCTCATCTTTAAAAACGTGGTGTAATTGTTCTAACGGTTGGATCATCTATTTTTTGGTAGCTCTTGGTGTTGTGGAAATGGAAGCGGATTCCGTTCCAGAATGCTTTCTTTGTAAGGAGGGTGTTGTGGATGACGGTGTAAATGTTACTCGTGGTTTAGAAAAAAAGTGGGAAGTGACAATTGTTCTTATGTAAAGTATTGTTCAGTTTTTGGTACTTTTACCGTCTCAAGAAGGGCACACCAAAGGCGAATTACTGAAAAAAGCTCACAATAGCTCTTGGGGTCAGCTCTTTCGCCGCCAAAAGGAAGACTTGCGTATTTTTTCCGAAATCCTGCATCCATATTATTCCGAAAAAAGTTTACAAAAAAATCGCAAAAATGCGAAAAATATTTAGAATGGTTGTATGGTGAATATTCACCACGATCTAAAAGTTGTCATTTGCTTTTAGCCAAAACAACGAGATTCAAGACCTTGGTACAAAAAAAACTAAATTTTTGCAATTTTCTGCTAAATTTGCAATTCAAATTGCACAGAACATTTGCTAATACAATTTAGAGAGCCCAAGCGCTACTTTGCAGAAAAAATCAGGTGAAATCCGTCAGTAATTGTCGAATAATCGATTATTTCCGATATTTTTATTTACGGACTCCGTAATTTAGCGAGAAGAGCAAAGGTGCTGGCGCCATCTGCAATTGGTCTCTAAAATCCAAAATATGAAGATCAATGCATTTCCAACTACATCGAGCGAAAATTCGGCAAGAAACTACCATATCTATTCAATATGAAAATTATGGATTTTTCGAAGTCTGATTTTGCAAAAAATATTGGCATTGCGAAAAAATTGATAGGGATCGTTTTTGTAGAGAATGAGCTGATATTCATTTTTTTTAAAACAAAAATTCTCTAATTGGCATATTTAGCCAGATATTAGCGGGAAACCCGTTTTTCAGAGTTTAGGGGTCCATTTTCAGCCCCTTCCGGTACCACGAACGCGTTAAGGATTTTCTCATTTAAAAACACCTGCGATGACTTACAAATTGAGCTACGTGGGAACTCATCAGCGATTTTTTTACAGCTTTCGATCTTTTCAGTCCTTCATATATTGGACTATAAAGGGAAAATAAGGCTAAATTTTTTATCACGGATAATACCTAATATTTAGTAGTGCCCCGACCCTACACGCATACAAAACACTAGCTAGGTATCAGATAGTATTTATTTTTCTAAACGGAAATTAAATAAACGTGTTTTCAGTAGTGACCCCTTTTATTAAAAATAAAAAAAAATCCACGGATAATGTCTAATTACTAGTAGTGTCTCAACACTCCACGCATACAGAACACTAGTTAGTTTTCAGATATTATTTTTTTAATATTAAATCAATTACGAGAACCACCCTGTATTTAACTTAAAGAAAAGAAAATTGAAGTAAAATAATCAATAACTAAAAAAAAAACTAACCTAGACCTGGCAGCAATTAATTCGTTAAATCAATTTATCTAATTAAATACTTTAATCGTATTCAAAATCAGTAAATGAAAATAAAATAAAATCAATAATTTAATCGGGAAATGAAAATAAATTTTTCTCAAAATTAAAGATTTTCAACAGAGCAAACTGTTTAATACAATACGAATTCCGTATTTGAATCTGAAAGTCAAAAGAAAGTAAAGCAGGTATAAATTGGAATGTTTTTTTTTTTTTTTTTAATAACAAAACTATAAGAGATCAGTTTTTTACCTGTGCTTGTTGGACGGGATTTTGTCGGCGGCAGCTGGTACTGCTCGAATCGGATCTAGATGGCTGAAGCGTTGCACGGAGGAGTATTTCGATAAGAAAACCGGACAAAAATATTTAATGCAATTTTATGCTATGAATTTGATTAAAACACATAATTAAGTATGTATTGAAAAATTTTAATACAGCAAAGATGTTTCAGATTTTTTTTACATACTAGAACTCTTCGTCTTTATCTTCTTCATCGTCTGTATTTTCGTCGCAGTCTTTTTCATGAGGTACAGGCGGCGTGCTTGCAATCATCAGGTTGATTGCCTCTTGCGAAAATGGCATAGTTTTTTTTGTGCTGCCTTGGTCTATTATTGCTTAAATATGGGTCCGAACTTAGTAACAGTCTATACAATACGTCTCTATTACAATCCACTCGAGAGAATTTTCGTGCAAAATTCAGTCTATATTGTCGGAGGTGCTTGTTGCGGGCCTCAGCTGCCTCCTCCGATAACTGGCCAATAGGTAGGATTGCATGTGATATGACTTCCGCTCCATGCATCAAAACTTTATGGATGGTTGGTGACATAGGGTGCCAATCGTAAAGATCTGTGTACAGTTTTGCAGTTTCATATGTGTAAGCTTCAAACTTATCGACGTCGATGCTGTTGCCACTCGAAATCACTTCTAAGATGACTTTAAATCGTTGTATTAAATTCACACTGACTCCAGTGATTCGAGATGAGCATTCCGGGTCAGCAAAAAACCTCCTTGACGTATTCCCGTCATTCGTGTTCCCAAATCCTGCTTTGGGAACATCAACCAGGAGTCCCATTTCTTCTTTGAAAGCTTCTTGAATTTTTTCTTTTGTTTCTTTGACAACTTTTTTTTCTTCTGTAGAACGCGCTTGCCACTTTTTCAGTTGTATTTTGTAGGACAAATGTAGTAACGATTCGAAAAAACGTATTCTAGCATGCAGAATCGGGAGTCCAAACTTCAGCGTTTCTACATTGACATCTTTTTTAATTAATTTATCAAAATCTTTTGATGTCTGTCCGCAAATATAGCATCTCATGGTGGATGCAGTATCAGTCGCAGCATTACAGACCTTACCATCTATCATTGTAAACACTATCTTATGCTTTATTTTGCCTGCTCCGTCCACTTCTGTTTCCTGAAGCTGAGCGGCTTGATTTTCGATGTGCCGAATTTCTTCTTTCGTTACATCTTTTGATTCATTTATGAAGCGTATGCGTATGGGTCTACAGAATCTAAGTGAGGATGGGACTGGGTTTTGCCATATAATTTTCTTCTGTTCTCCATCAATGATAACAAGCAGTCTTAAGGGAACAAGTGAGCTCTGAAAAATATTTGCGTCACTGTCAGTGATGTTTTGAAATTTTTGTTTATACTGGGTTTGTTGCGACCCGTCACATCCCCATTTAGATATTAAAACCATGTTTTGCTTCTCTTTCTCTGAGCATGTTTCTACAACCTCTGCTACATATTTATGCAGGCGCAACACAGTGTGGTCAAGTAATGCTTGTAGACGAACCTCAGAGCATGTCTCAGTCACACACATAGATGCTTCATCAGGATAACACTCCTTTTTAGCCTTTTGTATGAGTGAATAGCAAGGATAGATGCTCTTATTCGACCTATGTATTATTTCCCACCGTCTTCTGGTAAAGTCACCTTCAACAAAGATGGCTAGTGCTTCTGCAGGTGTATGTTTCTTCACAGTTGTTTGCTTACTGACAGTAGTAATAACTTTGCGTATTTCCGCAGCTCTGGTTGGTGAAGCAATAATTTCCTTTATTATTTTTGACGCATCACTATGTCCTGAAACACGCTGACTCACGCCAGCCGCATATGTCAACTCCTCTACAGGTACTTGCTCCCGCAGCTCTTTAGTTTTTCGTCGTTTGCTGCGGTCGCACAGTTCTTCGAATGTTTTAGATGGTCGTCCTGGTTTTTGTGTAAGTTTTTCAGGCCAGTAAGGCAGTTCAATCGAAGATGTGAGCCAGTGCTCATTGGTTTTCAAAAAACGTTCTTCCTTGTAACTAGCATCTCTCCACTTCTTCTTGAAATCGCTCTTGAAACACCTCAAAGCACGGATAAAATTAATTTTTTCTTGGTTTGGACAATTAGTCAATTTCAGAAGTCTCTCTTCGAATAATGAAACCTTTTCATCAATTTTCTTCCCTTTAAATTCATTCAGAATGTTAAACAATACTGTTCTGGTAAATTGCTTGACAGTTCCCGAAGAATCTGTGAAATAAAAATAAAAAATATTAACTTGATATAGTTCAAACTTTTCACTTAATTTTGAAGTATTGAAAATAGGGGTAAAAAATCGAAATATTTCTTTTGGTGGACTTGGAAACAAATTTTTTTAGACAAGTCGTTCTTATTTAATGGGCCCCATTTTTTTCTTATATAAGGTTTGTGTTCCAATTATTTTCTAGTTTTTGATACAACTGATGATTTAAAATAAAACCATTTAACTTAAAAAGTTTTTTTTGTACCACTATTTTTATTTTCTAGTTTTAGTTTGATTTTTGGCTCGTATCATTATTATTTTTTAAAGTTTGAGAAAAATTGGTTCATAAATAAGGTGGCTTACTATTTTGGATATGCCATGTTGATTTTTTAAGTTTGAATCAATAGTATATTATATTACGAGTGTGGAAAGTGACATTTTTCACACGAGTGGGAAATATTGTCGCACGAGGCACAAGCCGAGTGCGACTATCACACGAGTGTGGAAATTCACTTTTCACACAAGTGATGTACAATATTTTTCCTACGACCACAAAATATTTTCATCAAAAAATGTAAAACCAGGTTATTATAATAATTAAAATGTATTTAAAAAAATAATCAACAACAATCGTATTTATTCAATTTTCATATTTTTTAAACAAAAAAAAAAAAAACAAAAATTAAAAAAAAATTAAAAAAAAAATTTCTGGCCCCGCCAGGATTCGAACGCGGTCGTTCGCCAGGTCTCTCAAATGGCAAATTTGATAGTTTGATGCTCTAACCAACTGAGCTAACAGGCCTTTCGTCAATTGAGTGATCTAATCGGTTATATGTTTAACCAGAATAAAAAGCAAACATAATCTTAGTTATTTTAAAATTATTTTAATAATAATTGGTAAAGATAAATATCTAGGATCTAATTTACAACAATTTCAATAAATTAACAATCATATCGATTTTAGTATTAATATGGACATTACATAGATCAAAATAGAAATTAGGTGTTTGACATTTTGTAACAACTACTGCGGAAAGTAACATATTCTCACTCGGGTGGAAAGTAAATTCTTATTCATACGCGTGTGATATAGGGCACTTTCCATAGGACTTTATAGTGTGATATGTGTCACTTTCCTAAGTGGTCGTAGGAAAAAACCATAATCAGCAACCCTTAATATCCCCAAAGTCCAAATTTGGTACATATCGGTTCATACAGCGGAAAGTCCACCATTTTGGATCCGCCATTTTAAATGTTTTTGTAAACAAAAATATTAGATTATATTGTCACCGGAACACTATACATATACCAAATTTCAAGTCTCTAGCTCAATAGGAAGTAGTTAAAAAAGCTGTCGCAAGATTTGAAACAAATAAATATTATTCGGAGTCAAGCTAAATAAAACCGTTTAAATTAAAAATGGCGGATGTGGGCGGATGATTTGACTTAAGCGTTTAATTGTCGAAAGACTGATTATTATGTCTATCTATAAATTATAGCTCGACAAGACCAGACACATAAACAAAAACACTGTTGCCTGATACAAGCAAAAATAAATACCCAAATTATGGCTGTTGTCATATCATTTGTAAACGTAAAATGTTAACAGCAAATTAATCATTTAACATTTTTAAATACAGTACATACCTTCTTCTGCCATACTCAAAAGAGTTTTTCCTAAACTCAACAACACGAAAACACAACAGCAAAGCAAACTAATACTGCGACTCAAAGCGCCGAGAACCAAGACGTGCAATTCTATGAACTACTGGGTTCCGACTGACTTCCGAGAACAAGTAGAGCGCTAGGGGATTGTTGATAGCTGCCATTTGACGGGGGGGGGCATTTACCTGGCTAGAAAAACAATAGATTCAATGAGACTTTCGAGTAACTTACTGATTCCGACTTTTGTCCGGTTTTATTTACCAAATACTCCTCCGTGCGTCGGGCGAAAGATAAAGAGATCTGGCCGTATCTGTATTTTAAAAGTTTAATTGTTAACTTTATAAATTATAACATTTTTACATTACTCTAAAGTCGACCGTTTTCGAGAAAAATCAAATTTTAATGTTGAATTACATGGTCATACATACTTGATGAAACAAAATTTGATTTTTCTCGAAAACGGTCGGCTTTAGAGCGTATGACCACAAGTACCTTTTTTGTGTAGAAAACATTGGCGGTTGAAATGGGCGTCTCAAAACCGTACTTTTTCCAGTGGCGTAGAATTTTTTTTTTTTAATTTAAACACCTTGTATCTCGAAAATAGTGCATTTTAGAGGGAGGGTAAGTTAATAGAAACGTTTTTTCATATTTTTGGACGAGCTATCACGTCCTGAAGTCCTGCGCATATATTATTAAACACCCTGTATAACTACAAAATTTTAATATGTACTATACTCAAACAAATAATGATTGGAGTGAACCGTGTTGTCATATCTCAATTTTACCTTACTAGTTTTTAGCAGAATCAAAATAGAGTAAGTAGTAGAGTTGTAAGTTGTGACAAATTATAGATAATATACAATTATAGTACTAATAAAAGATATTAATTATAACAAAAATCAGTAATGAGTAATACTTATACATTTCTTGATCATTTAAAATTAATTATTTTATGGATTGTTCAGTATTTGTTACAACTAATGGCATCGGTGTACGGAGCGATATTTGTGTCTTTGTCTGTTACGCGTAAAATCCATCTCATCGATGACGTTCTCAGTAGTGTATTTCTAACCACGAGCGTAACATCGGGTTTTGAATTATACGGTGTGAATTGTAAGTTTTACAGTTAAGTTAGTAAGTAATCGACGTGTTGTAAGAACAATTGGTGAAAATATTAGTGCTAATAAGTGTTTAAACATTAAATAATAATATTTCTACACCGTTCTAAAACTATGCAAAAAATGGAAGACATTGAAGGGCCTTCAACGTCGAAAAAGGTAAAACGGTCGAAGTCTCGGTCGCTAAGTGAAAAATAAATTGTACTTCGAGTATTTCACTGTCTTGAAAGAGATCATCAGCGACCAAAAGATAACTTAGTGCATATGTGCTGTAATTCTACGGATGTACCTCCGAATAACCAACCGGGCGTTCCAACATCATTAACTTCCACAATTACAAAAGATAAATTAGTTGATATGTGCTCTGATTATACGGGTGTACCAAAATCATCAGTTTACAAAATACTAAGAGAAAACAAAATACATGGGGAAGTACAAACGCCAAAAACTAGTAGCGGAAGAAAAAAAAATCACAGTTGATGAAGAAGCCAAAAACAGTATACGCACAACTATTTACAGTTTCTTTTTCAGAAATGAGCTGCCCACTTTGCAAAAAGTTCTGGAGGCAGTTAGCGATCATGAATTGGTCCCACAAATGAGTAAAGAAACTTTGAGGAAAATTTTACACGAAATGAAATTTACGTACGGAAAAGTCGACAGGAAAAGCATTCTCATTGAACGTCAGGAAATAATAGTATGGAGAAGAAATTATCTCCGAAAAATTGAGGAATTTCGGAATATCAAAAAAAAAATTTACTACATGGATGAGACGTGGGTTAACCAAGGACATACGGTCAAAAAAGTATGGCAGGATGGTCATATAACAAGTGCACGACAAGCCTTTATTGAAGGCTTGTCAACTGGGTTAAAACAGCCGTCGCATATAGGAAGCGACAGTGGATTTTTACCAAATGGTGAATTAATATTTAAATCCAAGAAAACAGGCGACTATCATGAAGAGATGAATGCGGAGGTGTTTGAAAAATGGTTTGAAGGCATCATTCAACTTGTAAAACCTGGGTCTGTCGTCGTCATGGACAATGCCCCATATCATAGTCGGTATTTAGAATCATTACCGAAACAATCATGGAAAAAACGAGCAATTCAAGAATGGTTAATTAATAAAAACATCCAATATAAAAAAGATAGTTTAAAGGCAGAACTACTTCAGTTAACAAAATTACACAGAGACAAATATAAAAAATTCGCAGTGGATGAAATGGCGTTAAGTCGTGGAATTACAGTATTAAGGTTACCACCGTACCACTGCGAATTAAACCCAATAGAATTAATCTGGGCGCAAGTAAAAGGATATGTGGCACTAGAAAACAGAACATTTAAATTAGTGGACGTGCAACGTTACCTACAAGAAGTCATTCAAAATGTTTCTGCAGAAGACTGGAAGAAATGCATTCAGCATGTTTTAAAAGAAGAGCAAAAATGTGGGACGTAGAACACAATATTGAACCAATCATAATTAACTTTGATGATAGCGGTAGCAGCAGTGACGAATCTGAGGTTGAAGATTAGAAGAAAATTTGTACACAAAAAGAAGTCTATATATTTAGGTATAATTTTTATTTTTACCATTCACTATTACCATTTAGAAATTATTATATAAATTTGTATTTTTAATTCCTGTACACAGACATGAACAATGTCTCATCAGGATACAAATGTTTATTTATTTAATTATTATTATTATTATTATTGTATGAATTTGTACATTGTTACATAAATTTGAAATAAACATTTAAACGTTAATTTGTGAAATAAAGTTAAATTCATTATTAAAATAGTAAAATTGATAATATTGTTTCTGTCACCAAACCAACCACTGATTAGGTATCTTTCTTATTTTTAATTTGAAATATATATTGTGATTTTTATTAATATTCTTAATTTATTTGGTTCGTACTATAATTACCACAATTATTACTCCGTTTTCATAAAGCCCCACTAATGACTACAACGATTAGGTAAATTACGATATTGCAAAGTTTTCATGAAATAAATAAAAGAAATTGTATGAATATTTTAAATAATTGTACCCTCTCAAAAATAATAAGCACGCCTCCGATTTGGTCGTATTTCTACCTGCTTTCACTCTCAATCATTATTTGTTTGAGTTTAGTACAAAATTCCCAATCAAGTGATATACATATGATACGGCTATGAATAAATTAAGTCTGATTAATCTGTCAAAAGAAAAGGTTTATTACAATAAAAACCATTAACACATGATTCAATCTAAACGAAAACTTTTATTAGACCGATCAGATTTATAAAAATTTTCATTTTAACTACAAATAAGCGTTGAAGGATCAGGTATAAATAAAATGTCTACCTCTTGAACCTGTAGTCCGTTCTGAAAATTAAACTACTGCATTCCTTTTTTCTCTAGGCTATAGCTTTAGAGCTTTCAACTCATAGAAGCTTTAAGATGATGACATATGCCAGTCACTAATTAATTTCTATATTTATTGCACTACTCCAATAATAATAATTTTTCACTTTAACTAGGTATAAGTACTTGTACTTTTTTCCAACATTTTTTATTTTTTATAATTTGGTCCCTGTCTCTAGGAGTTTTTCTGTAACTGTTACTTAATCACTTTGTTTTATGTATTTAAAGACGTCTTAGTTTGTAATACTATAAATTTTTTAGGTATTAAATTTTACTAACCTACACGTACTATATTAACATCATTATTTCCGCTTTGTAAACCTGATGATGGCCTAAGGCCGAAACTAGTTGCCATAATTTTTAAATTTTGTGTTATTTGGTATTTTAAATGAGGAAATTGAAACATTGGTCCACAAGTTTGAAGCATGTCAACTTTATGCGGCAAAAGAAAGGGAAGTAAAGTTAGCTTATTGGCCTATCAGATAAAAATTTTAATAAGTTACATTTAGATTTTTTTAAACTTAATCAAACATAATTTTTACTCATTTTTGATACCACGTCCAAATGGTTGGAGGTTTTTATTATGAATGGTACCAATGCCGATAACACTATTGAAAAGTTACGTCATGTTCTTTGTCTTTTTCGATTTCCAGAATTCCTTGTAGTAGATAACGGTCCACCGTTTAATATTAAACAGTTTCTAAATTTTATGTTTCTACTGGGATGCAGATCATTAAAACTCCCTCCACCTTAACATCCAGAATCAAATGGCAGTGCTTCCACAATTAGGAAAGCTATTTTTAAGGAAAATATGTACAATAAGAGTAAATCAATGCAGCACAAATTAGATAATTTTTACGACACAAAAATGTTTTTCTAATTTTAAAAGTTATTATTATTTATTATTACATTGAACTAAGGGAAGAGGAGTGTAGTGCAAAGTGTGTGGGTACAAAGCAGTTAGTAGTAACATTATAAAAAACTGTGAAGGGTCAAGAAGTGAGTTTGGGAATTCGGAGATTCATACGAGCAACGAATATGTGATCTTTGTAATATTGAAAATGTTGGTCTAGTAGATTAAATACACAATATAAACTGAATACAATTTTTTAAGTTACCTGGTGTAGAGAGATTCCTATAATAACTTTCTCTGCTTTCTTGATTGATTGATTGATGGTACAACTAATCATTTAATGCTGAGGTGCTGTATTCAAAGTCCTCATGTCATTTAGCATCGTTTATTAAACATTAAAGGAAAACCATTTTAAATTTAACAACGAAGTAGCACAAATTTTGAGAATTAAATTAAATACACAGGTAGTAAGTGTTAATTTGCTCAGAAAACCATTCACTAAACTAACTACTCTGATAAGAGCAGTTAACGTGATTACAGTACCCTTATAATTTTTGCACGAGCATATATCAAAAAGTAATGTTTTTTAAAAGTTAAAATTTTGACAAAATAAATAAGGCAATAATATCTAAAATTTGCCTATATTTAAAAGTATTAATTTCTTCCAGTTTCCAAGAAAAAAAAGTCAAAGGGCTTTAAATTTTTAAATATCATAATAAAATTAAATGCATTCCTCAACAGCACTATTCTTAATATAATCCTCAAGTTTAAGCTCCTAATTTCTTGTTAATGATATTTTAAAATTCGCCGAAATTAGAGGCTAAAACACCTCATTAAGTACTATTTTCTGGTGTAAATCGTTGCAAGAAACGAATGATGGCTAAGAGTGTACGATAACGATAGTTACAGGAATGACGGAATCACTCCCGGTCAGCGAAAACGGCTTGTATGAGATGCACTAATGAGGTTCTTTCGTTCGTCCCACTGGTGTAGTAATGAACTACACCAACGGACACTATACCTTTCGTTTAGCCCGGTGTAAAACACACTACACCTTCCTGTCGGCGATGTGGTGTTCACTGGTGGATATTTTTTCCACCAGCTATTTAGGCAAGAGTGAATTACACTCGAAATGTGTATAAGGAATGAGGAGGAAGTAAATTAGGTAAATAAGGTGGTGTAATTGACAGTGGTGTACACTGCGCCAACAGCGAACGAAAAAACCTATGATATACTGGCTTTCTGGTCAACAATTTATATTTACCTGCGTCTCCTACCATTATTCTTTCAAATTTTCTAGATGCTTGGTTACATGCAGTTCAACGCGGCAACACCTGATTACTTCAGCATTTGTTTTTAAAATTGTACTGTTATTTATGCGCCCAAGAAATTGATAGAGACATGGATTTGTTTTAACTTATAATTCTCACAGCTTTTAATTAATTTAAGGTAGGAAAGGGGTAGTTATTATTTTGAATTAATAATTGAATTATTACTATTATTATTAGTGTTTGTATGGATTTATTATTATTAAAGAAATAATCAGTTTGGCAATCAGAGCTGGGCTAGCCTGATGTATTATAGTCCAGGATCCGTAAGTAAGGTCGACCTTCACCCATCTGTTTAATGGATAAAAGTTATTTTTTATTAAACAAAATATGTTCTTAAATATATCGCCTAAGAAAATACAGTCACAGCCATTTTTTTACTTTCCTTCCTGTGTACAGATAAGGAAAGAATATGAATCATGATAAAAGTTGCTTATGATGTCATTCTCTATTATTTTGTTACTATACATGATTTCGCTATAATGGACCTAATTCGAGATATTTGATGAAAAGTGCAAATTTAAAATTTTGAAGATAACTCAAAAACGGATAAAGAGAAAAACACCAAATTTTATACATAAGCTTTAATCCATCCTGCAGTGAGCTGATTAAAGTTTGGGCATAATCAAAGCATCTGGGGAATACTTTGCAGGGTGTCGTTTTTTTTACTTTAGTCTGGACCGTATTTTCCTAGGCAACCCATTTGCGGTATATTTATAAACATATTTTATTTAATAAAAAAAAAAACTTCCATCCATTAAACAGATGGGTGAAGCTCGACCTTACTTCGCATCTTAGACCATTAATAAGATATGTTGGATGTATTTCCAACAAAACTAATACTTGATTTTTATAGATTTTTAAATGAAAATGATTGTAAATAAAATATTATAAACTGAATCTGTATGAAATGTAAACTCTGATTGTTTTAGGAAGCAGGTCCAATAAAGAAATGGAACAATCGATTGGATGCTACAGAGAATAAAAAAGTTTGTATTCAATTTGATCCCACATTTACTGATCCCAGGGAGACTGAAGATTGTCTGGTTTTAAATGTTTATGTTCCCGAGGTACTCACTATTTTTTTATATTTAGGTACTTAGAAAAATCCTGATTTTCTAAATTTACTATTCAAATTATGTGTATTATTCAGTTAGTTGAAGGTATGTAATAGCTATTTTTGTAATGTGTTACGTACAAGATTGTTTCTAATTTGACTAGATTACACATTTATAAAATTGTGGTCGATAAAAAGTTACTAACCATTATTTTTTTGTACTTCAAATCTAAGAGTATAGAAAATCTATATTAGAAAATTATTTGGTAAACACTATCACATTTTTATAATTTATATTATTTGAATGAACACACGTAGTTATTTTAAATATTTTTTAAAGAAACATTAATTTATGTATGCTTTTTGTCACTTAATTTAACTAAAATTGTCTCTGAATGCGACAAATGTTACTTTCATTTGCATTGTTAGTTTAATAACTTTCATAGGCATATTTCAAAAAATTAATTATGTCACCAGTTGCGAAGAGAAAACAAAATTGGTTTTAAAGTCAATAATATACATTATTATTGAAAGTTCACATCAAAGAAGGGCAGGTTAATTTATAAAAGTAGAATTTGGTTAAACTTACAATATAGTAATAATGTTGTTTCGTCCTTATTTTCCATTTTAAATCAGCATAAAATAATTAAAACATAAAATAAGTTACTTTTTTGAAAAATAAAAAAATTTGATATACCATATAAATGCACTACAAGTCGTTGAGAATAAATAATTAATATTATGTTCTATTTGTCAATAAAATTATGCATATGCAACTAACAATACAAGAAAATAGTGATATTGGTTGCCTAGATGTCAGTTATGTTTTACCAAAACACAATTTTATAAATAATATAGTAAAAATAAGAAAAAATATTGTATGTAACACGTTACGAAATAGCTATTATTTTTATTTCTTTTCGAACTTTTCGTAACCAATAGTTAGATAATTAAAGGTAGAAAAAAGAGAAAAAGGTCCTTTTTATCTAACAAAGATTTGTGTTTAGTACTATGACCGGTTTGGAAGCGTGATCACTTCATCTTTAGACACGTAAGAGAAAAAAGGAGAGTGGATGAATTTTAAATTGTTAGCAAGATGAAAAAACTAATCCATAATGCCACTGATATTTATTTATTCATATTAACAAAAAATTAATCAAATTAATGTAATGTGACAGTCTTCTGGTTCTGGAAGTCTGTATGGCGCTAAGATGGTGAATGCGCCAGTTTTGGTAACACAGTTTGGTCTGCGACCCTGTAGTACACCAGAGTGTACTCAAGACAAACTCAGTGGAGTTAAAAATACCTTCAGGCGATCACTGCTAACGAGGTAGCCACTAAAGTAAAAGATTAAAGACAATTATATTCCTTAGACCTCGTAACCTACGGTACCCTGAAAGAAAACGGTTAAGGGCCGGTAATAAAAGAAAAAAATGGATTATTAATAAAATATATTTACAAAAAGAAAATCATGATACCTCGGGCACGGTATCGGCACCCCCTGTATACAGAAAATAAATTTTTAACAAATATAGTTTAATTGAATATAACAGTTGGCTAATACAGGAAAATAATTGCAACAGAAATTTACGATCCTCCCTGTATTCCTACACAAAAAAAATGTTTCAATAAATAAAATTTAATTTAAATATAATGGTTGAAAGATACAAGAAAATAATTAAAACGAAAATTTACGACCTCCCTGTATTCGAAAAATAAATTTTCAAAAAATAAAATTAATTAAATACAACGGTTTAATAATACAGGAAAATAATCAATCTGGAAATTATGATCATCTCGGTATACAGAAAACAAATTTATCAATAAACAAAATAATTTTTTTTCCAATAAATAAAACTTAATTAAATATAACAGGTGAATTATAAAGAAGCTACAAAAAAAATTAATATGGAAATTAAGAACGCTTCCTGTATACAGAGAATAAATAAAATTAATTAAATATAGCAGGTGAATTGTAAATAACTAAAAAAAAAAATAATAATACGGAAAACTACAGCGCTCCCTGTATACAAAAAATTAATTTCTCATTAAAAAAAAATTAATTAAATAAAACGGGTGAATAATAATCAAGCTGAAAATAATCAGAACGGAATTTTCGGGACCTTCAATGTGCAAAACATAAACTTTTCCACTGGTAAATTTTTATATGCAACGGTTGAATAATACAGAAATTAAAAAAATAATACAGAAGTTTAGGTCGCTCCTGATATATGGAAAATGAATTTTACAATGAATAAAATTACTACGCTACAGTGGATAAATAATACAGAGGTTGAAAATAGAACGGGAATTTTGGGGCCCACTAGCTCGACGGCAACGATAGCTTTTGCAAATCAATTAAAAAATCACAAATTCGCCCTGGATGGTGAGTTTCGATCGTCGTCCCGCGATTTCTCATACTTCGAGTGACTCAGGAGGTTTGACAAGGCTAAATCGTATTAATTTACATTTCTAGTTAGACGATGAGACGGAATCAGTAACTTCGTATCAAAAAAAAATATATAAAAAAGGCCTACCTTGATTTATATTCGGAAATACGGAGAGAAATAAACGATTCACTAACTTCTTTTTACTACTTGGAGAGCTACGGAGTACAGGAACTAAAGACACTTAAGATGGTCAGGAATCAAGAGACCGAAATTTGTTTCTACACTCCCATTTATGCCCTTCCAGCAGAAGCACTCCACGTCTGCACAATTTCGGAATGGGAGAAGATAATTTGCATGAAATTCAATCTTTTAATCCAAATATGAATTACGGTACATACGAAAATATTTTAAACTATGGGGGCTCTCTCAGATGTTCAAAACCAGCAATTACTAGGAAATCCAAAATACGTTCCTCGACTGAAATTAATTAAAGTATACATTTTTATAATTAAAATTAAAATTCACCCTCTCTCGGTGAAAGAAAATAAAGCCAGCGTATCCACGGACGGGTTGGTATTAAATCTACGAAAAAAAACTTTAAACTAAAAGTTAATTGAAATGGCGGTGTCTGGACTGTGACGATACTTTGTGACGCTGGTGCATCGGTTTGCACCGAAACTGAAAGGACGCTGCTTGTGGACGATACCATGGAGGTTGCGAGTTGCCTGGACGGTGGAGGGTATTGACATTCACAGTTGCGGGACAGCACACCAGCAGATTCCTGGGTGTGATTCTATAAAAGTGGGATTGGATTTTCGAGTACGTTTGGGAGCGGAATGAGACATTCCGGAGAAGTCAAACGGAAAGGATACAGTTGCCTGAAAATAAGGATTTTCAAGGAGCGGGCGGGAGCGGGCGGGGGCGTTCGGGGGCGGTCATCAAACAGAAATACCCGAGTAGTTTAAGGCTGCTTGATCACGGGTTTGTTTAAACGGATTACAGGTTCTGACAGATCGGTCGGCCCCTGTATAGCTTGGTTAGCTGCTACTTCGGAGTCCAGGCATCTTTCCAGACACCTGCCTTGATCGACGGTTAACGTCCTCTCGGACACGGGGTTTACGGCTACAGGCACGCAGTTGTTGAAATTTTTCCATCTTTATCACAGCTTTCGCTGAGTTCAGAAGACATGATTTCAATCCAGTCCAGCACAGCTGTTGAACAACTCGACGTAAGGCCTTTTAGAACCGATGGTGTCTTTGGAGTTACTATGCTGGTCGGACGGCTGATATTGGTCAGAACTGGTAACCTAGATCTCTTTTTCTGTGGCTCGGAGAGCGGTTTCTCCCCGATCTCCCAAGATTTCTCATTCTGTGGTGTGGAGGGCGGAGGGTGCTTTCTCTCCGATCTCCAAAATCTCTCATCTTGTGGGTTGGAGGGTGAGAAGCGATTTCTCCCCGATCCCCAAGATCTCTCATTCTGTGGTTTGGAGGACGGAGGGCGGTTTCTCTCTGATATCCAGGACCTGTCGCTCTGCGGTTCGGGGGGCGGTTTCTCCCCGATACGGTTTGAACAGGAAAAAGTGTTTTATTTTTCTGATTTATTTAAATTATACAAAGCATTATTTATTGAAATAGCAGACGAAAATTACAATAAAAAAAGAAGGACTATGAATGTTATCATGAAGAAGCTGACACCAGAATTATATATAATATAAATAAATTAAAACAGCAATTAAAAATATTGGTTAAGGCTAATGAAACTGATATTTTAGTAATTATCTTGGGAAATATTCACAAATTCAAAGACCGTGAATACGAAATTTGGTTAAGTAATTTTAATCCAAAAAATAAAGCAATAAATATTGTCAATTATTGTTCTAAACTAGCCAATTACTTGGGAGAAAATATATGTCTATCATTGCCGGGTTTTCATGCCTTTACTGGTGGTGATTATACGGCTGCATTTTTTAGAAAAACGCAAAAAAAACTTAATATATTAAAAAAAAATCATCAATATCAGCTTCATTAAATAATAAACTTATTCAGGACCAGGAAAAAGTTGAAATAATTCAACAATACACTAATGTTATACGCCGTAAAAAAATATAAATTTGTTAATTTAGCGAAACTTAAATTGTTCTACAAATTCTACAATATTAAAAATAATAACCAAAAAGAAATATTCAAAAATGCACGCAATTTTGTATCTAGTTTAATCCCGCCTTGTTGAAGAAGTCTCGAGCAAAAAATATTACTCACAATTTTCGTCAATTCTACAGATCATCAGTGTATTCGATTCCCTACATTGTGGTTGGCAATTGAGGAATGATAATAATGCATATGAGGTAAAATAGTTTGAAGGCAATGCAGTGCCACTGACAGTCAAACAAAGTTTGCAGCATGATAAAGAAGAAACCATCCCAGATGATGAAGATTTATCATACAAAATACATGATTTTAAGGACAAAAGTGATGAATAATGTAAAAGTGACTATTATCATAAGTGATAATATTGTGATAAATTATGCAACATATGTATTTAACCAATTTTAATTTATTATTTATATTTTTTATTTACTCTGTTGTATTTTCAATTACTTTAAATAAAAGACTCATGTTATAACTTGTTTTGATTTATTTACGAGGATGATAAAAAAATGTTTAATATCCACACAAGCATTTTCGCCAGATAATAAATGTATGCTTTCTAAAAAAACTATAAAACCATTTCGTTCTCTTTCAGAGTAGAGATATAATATTTTTATATTACTCTGCCATACAAGAAATGATGATCGGAAAATTATTAAAAAATTCGAGAATTAATAGAATAAAGTAATAAAAACTCACGCTTAACAAGTATCAACAAAGGACTTGCTTAATCGTGGACTGGCAGAGTTTTGGTCAAGTAATAATGTGCCAGACCAATTTTATTCAAAAGAGGGATAAAAAACGAACATTTTGACGTTTAGTTTTTGTTTATACTTTGTATAGAACATTTATCATTGCAATAAATATTTTGAGGATGGTCTGGCAAACAGTTATAGCAAGAATAGGGAAGCCAGACCTAAATGTTTATATTCTACTGATAAAAACTTCTTCGAATAGTACCACATCGTACTTATGTCTTAAACATCAATTTTTACAAAAAATTAGAAAAAAAAATTATTCAAACAATTGGACAAGTTACAGATCGCCAGACTGGTGGTTCATTATTTGTCTAATATTCAAAAAATAATTAGGTCTATTTCTGAATTTATTTTGATTCACCACCCTTTTAAGACGGTCGCTGCTTGGACTATCAACCTGACCACTTGAAGTCGACTCGAGTAGCAGTTATGCCACTGCGCATTGCAGTCCGTCTGTATACACCCACATTGACTTGAAATTTTCAGTGAAATATAATGTCTTAAAATCTAAATTTACTCATAAATACTTACTATACTTTGCTATAATTGCCCTATAATTAATTTTGATCGTTTACAATTTTAAGTTAAAATATTTAGAAGATAAGAAATTCGGCTCCTACCTAAGACGTGTTTAGCTATTAGGAATCATTTTTCCAATGCGCATGCAAAAAAGTTAAACACCCTTTTTAATAAATCTGTTTTTAGGGAGAATTTTGTGATAGAAAAAAATGTCCTCTGCCGGTACTGCTATGGATTCACGGAGGATCTTTCAGGTCTTGGTTTGGTACTATGGATACCTTTGGACCTCATTATTTTTTAGACCAGAATATTATTGTAGTTTCCATACAGTACCGTTTAGGGCCATTAGGTAAAAAAAGATTTAAAAAATAGTTTCTTGGCAAGCTTTTTCTTAATTTTGTATGACTGGATGATCAAAAATGTTACCACCCTAGATACAATTTTTTTACTTTTAGGTTTTCTTAGCACCGTCGATGACATAATTCCAGGAAATTTGGGAATAAAAGATCAACAATTAGCTATGAAATGGGTATCAAAAAGAATAAAACACTTCGGGGGTGATCCAAGTCGAATAACCCTGATGGGTCAAAGTGCAGGTGCTATGTCTGTTGGTTATCACCTCATGAATCCACAAAACCGAGGTAATATTTTGTTTACATCTATTTTATATATGTTGCGTATGTTTATTATTTGTTTATTATTTAATGTCACAAAGTTACTTTGTAGTCCGTTCAATTTAATTCAATCTTTTTAATTTATTTTAATCTACTCTAACTGTTTCTTATAAAAACCTTTCAAAATGTTAATTAATTCAAAAGCAAGTAGAGTATAGGGTAACATTTCTGATACCCAACTTGTCATGTAACAGATTTGACACTCAATTTAATTATCACGTAGCAAATTGGCACCAACGTTGTTTTACGTAACACAATTTTGGTTGTGCGTAACATAAAGTAAGGGGATGTTTTCTAAATGGTTTTAAGCAATTATTAGTTATCTATTTCTAGAAAAAAGTAAAGAAATGTGGAACCGGTTTAAAAAACAGCCGAGAATTTCTACAAACGGTGTCTTCCCGATGATGTTAGGGATAGTATCCTAAGCATAATCGAGGGGATGGTGTGTGTAAAAAACACGCCTGTATATACGCAAAACTTGACATATATAGACACAGACAGTAAACAATAACATCCTTCCTTTCCAACTTCGACAGAAACACTAAATAACAGCTTACCAAGACTAGATATTTACACAATCTAGTCGGACGGCAGACTGAATTATGGACCGGCCCCCAGAGCACCTCGTTTCGTTTCAAAACTATTTAATAACAAAATACTTAGAGAAAACAGAAACATACCACACCTCAGAAACGCATCTGGGGGGTAGCTATCATTATTAAAAGTAAATATTTCTGAAAGATTTGAAAACATAGTAATAGAGGTAAGTAACATAATAATTATAGGGGCATACAACCCTCCTAGGTCCACACTTTCAGGTAGAAATCTGCACAAGTTAATGTCAAAAGGAAAGAGGGTTTTTCTTGCAGGGGATTTTATTGCCAAACATCAGGAATGGGACTCTCATTGTGCGTGTTACAACGCAATCGGTAGAGTTTTGAGAGACTTCGCAGAGGAAAATGACTTTATTATCCACTACACAGAAGAACCGACTTACTTCCCAACTAAACTTGCTTACAGTGCCAGTACACTAGATATTGCCATCGCGAAAAATATCCCCTATATAAGAAATATGAGAACCATGATCCAGTGTACCTAAAAATATGGACGACGAACAAAATACAGAGACTAAGGACTCAATACTAAGATTACAAGTCGACAAAGTGGAGACATTACAGAGATAAACTTGAACCACTTTTAGTGCCCCATTCATGCCTAACGACTCCTAGAGAGGTTTGTGAGGTAATTAGATATCTCAAAAATAGAAAAGCCCCGGGACCGGACGATATTAACAATACACTGCTCAAAAACCTCATCAGAAAAGGTATCGGGAAGATCTACCACATAATAAATGCCATTTTCAGACTACACTATCCTAGTAGTCTGAAAGTACCAAATATTATCCCTATTCTAAAATCGGGAAAACCGAGGAAAAATAACGAACACAATAATATAACGCGACTTAAGATAGTAGAACAACGAATACAAATTATCCCGAGGGAACAGTACGGTTTTAGAGAGGGGCACATCACTGTGGCCCAGGTTCTGAGAATTGTTCACCATGCCAAAGAAGCATACAATCAGGACCTGCAAACGGTGCTCGTGGCGCTTGATTAAAAAAATGCCTTTGACACCGTATGGACCCGAGGGTTAATCTACAAAATGCTTCTGAATGACTTTCCTGGGCACATTGTCAAAACAATTTTGTCATATCTTACGGACAGAAAATTCAACGTCAAAATAAATTCTACAATAACAGGACCTTTCCTAGCAATGGCGGGAGTACCACAGGGCTCAGTACTATCGCCGCATTTGTACACCGTTATGACTTATGATTTACCAATGAGACATAATGGGGTAAAAACGGCGCAGTACGCCGACGACATCTGTATATTCACTAGCCATAAATCAGCACAAACAGCTAGAAGCAGGCTGGATGATCATATTAATGGAACATTAATGAATTATCTAGCAGAAAACAAAATTAAAATAAATTCAACGAAAACCGAATCTATCGTACTATCAAAAAGGCGTGTCCAAGGTGTAGACACGCCCCTTCAGGTTCAGAATCAGCCAATAGCAATCAAAACCCAATTAAAATATCTTGGTTTTCTGCTAGACATTATTCAAGGCCCACATAAAAAACAGAGTGGTTAAAAACTCGGGTATTCTGAGGTCTTTGTACCCTACTCTACCGAAAAAATTACTACTATATAAAACCATATTTAAGCCTATTCTGACATATGGTTGTCCAGTATACTGCTCAATGCCAAATTCGTCTTTTTTCCCACTTCAAAGGGCACAAAACAGATGTCTCAGGCTAGCACTTGGCTACGACCGCTATGCTAGAATACGAGACATGCACGAGACGACAAATATGCTTATGATTAAAGATTTTATAACTCAAACTGCTGAGAACTTCTTCGCGCGATGCCTCCCTGAGGAATTGAGGGAGAGCATCACCCAAATTCACCAGGGAGACGGCGTGCGTAGAAAACACGGATGCGTACATAAAAAACCTAAGCATATATAGACGACAATAACAGTACCCATGACAATTCCAACAACACTAAACAATAATTCACACGTACTGGATATTTACGAGATCTAGTCCGACGGAGGACTGAGCGATAAACTGACCGGCGCAACCGCGGCCGGAAGCGAAATTTTCGCACTCGACATAAAGACAACCCTGTTTTTTCTTAGCCTTTTTCAGGGAAATAAATACATAACTAACAACAGACAAATCTATTACAAAAAGTTCCATTACCGACGCTAACTAAATACTCATAACTGTCTTATAATATTCTACGGAATAAGGAGATGACACAGTAAAGCCCAATAAACGTAAAAACATACTATATTCATGATTGCGGGCCGATACGACGCCCATATTTCTCCTGCTCAGGCTGGAGGACAGGGGCGAAGTAATTCGAATTACGTACATGTAGATATAGTTGTAAATTGTACATATATTGTAAATATTGTAAATAAACTATTCATTCATTCATTCGCACTCGACAGTGTACCTTGGACTCACCAAGGCTGCTGTTACCCGAACCCACGTTAGACTCGTTACGAAGTAACATAACCCCACTTTTTCGCTCTTCACAAGTATAGTTCCTTTATTATTGTCCGAACAAAATCGCATCGCTAGGTAAAGTTAAAACAGTGTACGGAGTGCAACCCCGTGCATGGGGAGCCCTCGGGGGCATCCAAAAAGTCGGGAAAACCGACATATATCGCGACGGAAGCCGCGAAAACAGAATGTGAACATTCTAAACATTTATCATAATAGTTTCATGTCAAACTTAAACTCATTCAGCTTCAGGAATTGAATTCGCTGCGGTTTACCGAGACAAATACAAAATCTGTTTTAACAATGTAAACGGGCTGCTAAACAAGATTCATCTTGTAAGCAACTTCATATATAAACATAAATTCGACATTATAGTAATAACGGAAACACATCTAAAACCAATTCACAAAATAAAAGTGCGTGACTACGACATACACAGACAGGATAGGCCAGACCAAACCGGAGGGGGCGTGGCTCTCATTATTAAACGAACCATTCCGCATGTAGCTGCCACGACCGTGATTTCTAGCATAGAACACGCGATAGTAAAAATTGGGGACATCACACTAATAGGGGTATATAACAAACCTTTAAACCATTTTAATAATATTTAGATTTATTTAACCTTATGGCCGCGGGGGAAAAAGTAATTGCAGTAGGGGATTGGAACGCCAAAAGAGTGGGCCGCAAATTGCACTAAAAACAACAAAAACGGCAACACACTCAGTGACTTTGCTGATTCCCATGAATGTGTGATTCATTACACAGATGAACCAACGTTCTACCCCTTTAGTGAAAAAAAAACACCAAGTACCATAGACATTGCTTTGACAAAAAACATTGACAGCATTCATAACTTAACAACAATAACAACACTAAACTCGGACCACGACCCAGTTTACTTAGAAATCAGGACGAAAAAGAACATACAGAGACAAGACGGACAATACTACGACGACAAAACAACAAACTGGGTAAAATACAGGGAAATTTTAGACAAAAACATAGTAATTAACAACAACATCACGACTACAGCTGAACTTGACAACGAAGTAGACAAACTAACAAAAATCATAATAAAAGCAAGGGACTCTACAACAAAAATCAAACAAATCAAACTACACCATGAAAACATTACTCCAGAAATACAGGACATGATCAACAGAAAAAATTACATACGCAGACGCTGGCAACAGAACAGACAAAGTGACGATAGAATTAGACTCTTTGACATATCCAAAACAATCAACGCTGCTTTACGGGACTTAAAAAACAAAAAATGGACTGACATACTACGAGAACTAAAACCACAAGACAACTCAGTGTGGAAAGTTGCAAAGCGGTATAAGAAGCCGGTTGTGCAACTTCCCACACTCCAGGACAATAACGCACAATACATAACGGACACACAAAAAGGGGAAGCGTTTGGTGAATATTTCGAAAACAACTTTAAGAATAATAACTTAAACAATCCCGAACAACAAAATATAGAGGACATCACAGAGGACATTAAACTCCTCCCCAGAGCAAACGTTCCAACCAATCAGCTGGTTACGCCGAACGAAGTAAAAGCTGTAATCATTAAACTTAAAAATAGGAAAGCACCGGGCCCAGACGGGATATCTGGACTCATGCTAAAAAACATAACTAAGAAAGCGGTCGTGCAGCTGCACTATATCATAAATGCTGTCTTTAAATTGCAGCATTATCCAAAGCAATTAAAGGCTGCAAACATCATCCCTATTAAAAAACCTGGTAAACACGCGAAAAATATTGAGAGTTACCGTCCCATATCCCTTCTTAACTCACTCCCTAAAACAATAGACACGATTATACTAAACAAACTACGCTTAATTGAACACGAAAAACAAATAATTCCACAGGAACA